CTATTTTAAGATGAGGACGTAACTATACGTAAACTACAATGAAAACGTTTTAAATTTCCTTTTGAATATATTTTACACAAAATGGCTTCTAGTTTTATTGCGAACCGGTGCGGACGCATTGTTCTGCACATTAATTCAGACACGGGGAGATGTTTGAAATTAAATCGGACAGCTCCGCTTCGTGTTATACACGCTCTGTGAGTACTGCATTAAATAAAAAAAATAGCCAGCGGTGCTTGTCTCAATTGCAAATGCATCGACTGTGTCCATTATTGTAATGGCATCCAAAAATTGGAGCGTTGTGGGTAACACGAGATGTATATTTCGCACGAGATGTCACTCGAAGGCGGCGTGCTTTGAAGTCCCAGCCTGGCTCTCATCAATCATTCCATGAGTATGTTATGGTAATTACTTCTACATTGCCACTAATTGATCGTACCAACGACTGACACTAATTATAGTAATTACAGCCATTAAAACAACAACCTCGTATAACGAAGTGATTCAGCGACAATGTGAAAAGTGTGGAAGTGAGTTATTTTTATAACCAAATCTACGTACACATTACGCATTGCATCAAAGAACGGCTGCATTAACATTTTTGTGTAATGCGAATTTAATAACGTTTCTTTACCATTTACATTTGTCGTTTTTATTACATCTGTGGACTGCGTTAATTACGATCATAATGCATGAGGAAGTCTGAGATCCGAATTAAACAATAAGACACTTGGGTACCGTAAAGCATGGATCTACGGGGATATTTTACCACTAAACAATTTGAAAAAGTACGTGATCGTCGATATTAAACCTTATTGCCTTAATTTTTAAACCTTACCTTACCTTAAACCTTAATTTTTAAATAAGAGACGCGAACCGCAGTTTCAGTATAAATTATTACGTTTTCTGATTCGAAAACCAGACTTTTGATCCAGCTCGTATTCAGTAGCACTTATTTGTGAACTCGTAGAAATCGATTGGCGAAGGTTTGACATCGCTGTCATTTTTCGATCTCGAGTTAGACGGACAGACGGAAAGAAAAAAAATCCCCTAATAAAAAAGGCAATTAGGGACTCTTAGCCATAGATCTACGAAGTTATTCTATCATTAACAGATTATTGAAACATGTGTGGAAGAGGACTTGTAAATATTTTTCATTTTTTTGTTTCAGAAGTGCCTTGAAAGATAGTATTTCATTTGTTTCCATTTTTACTGTTCCGCATCCCATATGTGGCTAGCTAAAGTACTGTTCTCATCACAGAAAAAAGTCCGTTGTTGTTGTAGTTGTTGTCAAAATCTAATGTGACAAATTGCGTACATTTTTGTAGGCTATTAATTTTCAGACCGGTAGGTCATATACTGCGCATGTACAAAGGTAGCTTTGTTATTTATGGACCGATCTTGCTGACATTTTAACAGTAGCATCTTTTAAGAAAGGCAAATCTTTCGAATATATTAAACATGAGAAAACCTGCGTGACGCGATCCTACTGAAATTTGCGAACTTTCGCCGGAAACTCGCGCACCAACGGTAGCTTCGGTTCTCCTTTACATAAAAGAAACAAGTATAAATTGTGCACAACCCTTGTGCAGATAAAGCGCAATTTTTTAACCGAAATAGCTTTTGTTTTGACATCACCAATGGATATATTTCTTGCAGACGTCTCAGTCGCCCTTTGTGAGTACCCTTTTCCGACAATCCGTTCTTGAGTATAAGGGAATATACCCGATCACAATAAGAGGTCGACGAGGAGGGCTATTGTTGGTAGAAGTTAATTCCTTTCGTTAAGACCTTTCATTTGAGTACCATGAAGGATAAAAGTAGTTCCACTCCCCCCCCCCCCTTCCACCGCGTGCTTTGATAAGAGAACAGAAAGGAGGGCAGTAGTTGGTAGAAAACGGTTCCTTTCGGTAAGACCTTTAATTAGAATACAATGAGAGATAAAATTATTTTTTGGGGGGCCCCTTCTAGACAGCGAAACATTTTTTTTTAATTCTTAAAAAATGCGCTAAAAAGAAGCGGTATAATTACAAAAATGAAATTTAATAAAAGTAAGAAAAAGGAAAATCCAGTTGTAATTAGTAGTATAGGGGCCTCTATGGGCACCCCCCACTCCTCCTTTAAGCGCCGCCCCCTGGCTTCCTATTGGTTGACGTATCCCCGCCCATCTCCCACTCCTTTAGAAAGTGAACTCAACGTGAACCTAACTCTAACGTGAACTTTAATCTAACGCGAACGTGATCCTAACGCTAACGTGAACGTGAACCTAACGCTAACGTGAACTTTAATCTAACGCGAACGTGAACGTGAACCCGAACGTCAACCTAACGAGAACCTAACGCGAACGTGAACCTAATGTGAGCATGAACCTAACGCGAACGTGAACGTTCACATTAGGTTGACGTTCGGGTTCACGTTCGCGTTAGGTTCACGTTCACGTTAGCGTTAGGTTCACGTTCACGATAGCGCTAGGTTCACGTTCAAGTTAGCGTTAGGTTCACGTTCACGTCAGGTTCACGTTCTAAAGGAGTGGGAGATGGGCGGGGTATACGTAAACCAATAGGGAACCACGGGCGGGGCTTAAAGGAGGAGGAGTGGGGGTGCCCATAGAGGCCCCTATACTACTGTAATTTTACAGTCAAAATCTGTAGCTGGTGACGATAGTCAGGGGAACACGGAGGAACTACGGCGGAATGGGAATGCTTCGGGCGCCACCAGAAGTTTTCGGTCTCTATTGCTTCTTGACAGGATGCGATCGACGATGGTAAGCTCTAGATAACTCGAATGGAGAACGGCAGTGAATGCGAAAACAAAACTTAAAGCGCACAGCAAGTTCTCTCAAAATGAGCACGCTTAAAAAACGGGAAGTCCGATGTCCATCTTATATTTTTCCGTTTATTGCAGGCCGGATAATTAATTACAGTCGTAAATACCGTTATCCCTGTTCCACTTCCACCAAATTCGGTAAACGCCTGATTTTGTGGGTATCTTTTGCAGTTTGTAATTGCCGTAAGTTGGATCATCTTTTGCATTTTTACCATCTCAAGTGAGTTCTGTAAGTACCGTCATTTTCCGTAATTTTTTTGCTTT